TACAGCTCTTTCTATCTTTTCAAGCTAACCATGAAAATGAGTTCTCATTAGTCTTCATTAATCCTCATAGTGAGCCCTCATTATCTCCCATTTCAATGTGCTGACATCGTTACGTGAAATCTAAATACTGAAAGAGTTACAGTAACCCCGAAGAGTAGTATGCTGTAAACGGAAGTAGTTTGATTCACTTGACACGCCTTTGCCAGTTCGAGGAAATGTAATCCAGTAATGTGCAATATTTATTACCACATTGTTAAGCGATAATAATATTTATATTTTGTCAACTATTATTTTATCACATTAACTTCCGCTAAGGATAAAGGTAACACTTTGACGTCGTTCAAATCGTTCCGTACGCCACGTATTTCACTTCCACTCGAAATCCAAGTGAATTTTTGATTGCGTTCTGTATTTTTCCCCGCTCACAAACGAGTCTTGCACCAGGTTATTTGGCCCGGAGGAATGGAAGGCCTGGTTGGCATGGGCGAGAGTCGATCCAGGATATGGCCCTGAGACCACGTGCGTAGCGGGCAGCCCCACTTATCACTTCCCATTCCCGCCTCACAGTCACTATTCAACGTTTACAACCAATACATACATATATTAATGGCGGAGGTGATGTAGTGGCAAGTGGCGCCGATTACCACGTGGCCTGCTGGAGGGGGGAGGGGGGAGGGAGGGGAAAGAGAGCTCGGTCCACCCGTTTTTCATGCTCTGTGCTTTTTGGTTCGATAATATTTACTCATGGATCAATAATTTTTTCGATTAATATTATGAATTCGCAAAGTCGGGATAGGTCAACACTCAGGGATCCCAGCGGTGAGCCTTTTAAGGGGCGAGACAGGTGAGAGAAGGGAATCTTTTAAAAACACCACACACATGGGGCGAAGGGAAGGGGGGCAAAATCTCGGGCCTACCAAGGCATTCATACACTTCCGCGCAAGCAGTGTGTACTAAATCTGCGCCGCAAAGGAATCAAAAAGCCACGTATTCATAAAATATCGGCTAGCCCCATAAGGTCACTAAATAGATCAACTCAAATTCAAGACGACCATTCTGACCTCAGGAAATTTGTTACTGAAGCAGCCCCTGTTTGCCATCCTGTCAACGCTGACGCATTTCTCGCTAATCTTATCATTTTTTCGGCCACGTCCTGACAAAAATTGTACCTGAGGCCCACTAGTAGCACTGCCGCTTCCTAGCAGGCTCTTAAGGCCCGGTAATACCGCAGTCCTGCGAGAACGACTTCATAGTAACTAGTCTTCCCAGAGTAAGACAGCCACAGACCCTTTCCTTCAATCCAAAAACATGACCTTGCACTTTCATCCTTCAAAACTGTCTCAACTAGCTTTTGGGAATCCGGGTAAAAATGTAGAATCCACTTTTAGAAACACAGGACCCTTTTACCAGCACCACGAAGGGAAAATGATGGAGTGACAAATAAAACATGCATAAAATTAGCTTTGACGTCATCGGATGTGGACATGTTTCCCATTTGTCAAACTGCAACATTTCACGAACCCCGGAAAAACATTTCAACGACGTGACGTAATCGAGCTTATTCAGGAGGAAAGCGGAAACTTCCGCGAGTGTGCACGTCACAATCACCTAATATGCATTAGTAGGACTAATTCAATCATGTCGCCATCGATTTGTGTACAAAGGAGGCCATTAAAATCGGGGTGATGATTCAAAATCGACGCAAAAATGGGCGATCAATCGAACCAACAATCTTCTTTGCGATAACGTCAGCGAAACGTTTGCGCTTGACTGAGCTGTGTTGTTTAACCTTTTTGTGTTCGTTTCATCATTTCCGTGACATTCAGTGGGATTTTCATGAAGGGAAAAACGATTACCAGCCATCTACCACTTATTATTGATTGATAACTTCTGGCGAGTCGCGGGGTTAAACTTTGGTCTTTTCGGCTCTAGAATGTTGTTCATGGCGCCTTTGGCGGAGACAGCTCTCAGAAACCGGTTAGAAGTACAACGACTTTGATTGATGACAATGTCACCGAGAGATCGATCCAACAGGGGGTTTTCTAGCCTTCTGCGCTGCCAATCGATCTGTGTCAAAACACCCCCGTTTCCATTTATACAGGATCCCCCTGCTGCGCACATATTTCATCGCCACCTGCTCTTCTACACGTTCTGGCGCAGTTTCATCCGATTTCCATTGTTTCAAGTGCCGATATTCCAGCGTTTGTTCGTCCGTTCCATCGTTCGCGTTCGCTGGCTTGTCGTCCTCGTTGCCGCTCACACTCGTTCGTGTCCTAGCAACACACGCCCACATCGCACTGGCATTCAGCCAATACTTGCTCTACGCTGTGTGAGTCGCCGCAATATTGCGCCGCCGCGGTCGTCGTTCTGATGTCGGCCGAAACGACGGCTCAGCCAGCCACTTATCCAGTCGATCCCCGTCCAACAAACACAACAACTATCACTACACATTCGCCGTCAGACACGACCGTTACCACCAACAAGCGCTCACAATCACAAGGACGAACACCATGGGGAACAGGGCGACGATGTGAGTCCTGCATTTCCTTATCTCCACCTCTTTGCTCTTTTTTTTCTTTCTCTATAGCACCCTCTTACACCACTTTCAGCAAAAAATCCTAACTTCCTAACATTTCAGACTCCGAAATCGATGACCATATCTGGAAGTACACCCTCAATGACGACACATCCGAGTAGGCATATCCTCCTTTATTCATTCGTCATCAGTAATCAACTCTGATCCGGATTTAGCGCTAAACCTGTTTTAGGGGTACAGTGGTCGGGTTCGGGAACGTTCGGATCCCATCTGAAGAAAATATCGCTAAATTAAGCGATCGAAAGCTAACTATACGCTCTATTACTTGGAATATCAATGAGAAGGTACGATTTCAGAATCTTTTGATTTTTAGAAAACCCTCAGTTACCCGGGAAATCCTTTCTATAAGCGAGAAAACCCTTCTGAGCCGATAATACGAGGATGGATTAGGGCTCTTGCTCATTAAGTGGGGGCAGTCAGCCGTGGAAAAGCGTGCGAGATGAGAAAAGCCTTCCATAAATCCAGGCGGAGATTCAGTGGTTGATTGTTACGTGAATATTTCCCACCATACTTCATGAATAATTCAATCGATAATCCCGAAAGGGAATTCTGCCCACCTGTGGGAATTCGTGCTTCATAAAAGAACGTTAAATTGTGCGAGTCTCACGTCGGGCAAAAAAAGAACGTAATCGTTTAAAGACAGCTCCCGCGATAAAAGTCTCATGGATAGCTGCTTTCCAATTATGAAACAGCAGCTGATAAGTAATCTCCCAAAGAAGAAAACAGGCAAGAAGCGTCCTCCAGAACAACATAAACAAAATCGCTCCCTCACAGTCACACCTCCCTGCGGTCTCTGTGCAACCCCTAGCTCACAAATCTCTCTATCACATCTCAGTAGTTGATATCATCCAGTGCAAAAAAAATACAAAAAGAAAACAACAAAAACGCAGAGGAAAAACTCTGGGAAGGAAAAAGGAATTTTATCAACACGGTGTCTGAATTTGTGATTACGGTAGGCGCGCCTTTTGTGCGTCGTGGTTTTGCATCACGAAAATTGCGCCACTCGTGTTTTTTACGCGTTTCACCTTCGAAATGTTGAATTGAATGTATATACCTCCAATGAGTAAACTGTAATAAGGGAGAGCAGAATTATCCAGGGGCATTAGCAATGCCCGCCGCCCCAACTAAGAACAAGTGAGTGGCCTCCGTCGGAGGACATCTAGCAAGTAAAGGCGGTCCGACTGAGGAGGAGTTAGAACTAGCACTTTGAGCGGCTATAGCAGCCTCACGCTCACAATAGAGTCGCGAAAGGTGAGCAGTCTACTAGCTTGGAGGCTGGACTACTTGCACAGCAAAGCTGACCACGAGCCACTTTGATCGCGGGGGCAGTCTTTAATGCTGTTTTGGATGTTTTTCATTTCGGATTCGAAGGCTAACTGAACCCGCACCCCTCCGAAGCCGAAAGCTGGGAAACCTGTCATAATTGTATTATAACTTCCAATAAAGGAAACCAAAACAAATAGCTATAAAAATCAGGTCATAAAATTTTGAAACGGCCAGGAACTATCCCTTTAACAAGGGGTAGGGCCGACGACACGAGAATGGATTAGGCCTTTTGCTTATTAGGGAGAGGCAGTCAGCCGTGGAAATGCCTGCGAGATGATAAAAGCCTTCCATAAACCCAAATGGGGTATTCAGTCGCTGATTGTTACGTGAATATTTCCCACCAGAGTTCATGAATAATCAATCGTATAACCCGAAGGAAATTGCACCTGTGGGAATTCGTGCTCATAGAAAACTTTAAATTATTTCTGCGAGTCTCACGTCGGACAAAAAAGTACATTGTCGTTTCCTGACGTTCCGGATCTTTTTCTTTTCGAATTTGAAGGCTAACCAAACCCCAACCCCTCCAAGCCGTACGTTGGCAAAGCTACCATGATTTTATTATCACTTCCAATGATGGAACCGAAACAAATAGGAATAAAAAATCAGGCTATAAAAATTTGAACTATGAATTGCCCGATAATACAGGGCAAGGGCCGACGACACGAGAATTGTTCAGGGCTTCTGCTCATCAAAGGCAGTCAGCCGTGGAAATGCCTGCGAGATGATAAAAGCCTTCCATAAACCCAAGTGGGGCATTCAATTGTTGATTGTTACGTGAATATTTTCCCACCATACCTTCATGAATAATTCAATCGATAATCCCGAAAGGGAAATTTGCCCACCTGTGGGAATTCGTGCTTCATAAAAAAACGTTAAATTGTTTCTGCGAGTCTCACGTCGGGCAAAAAGAACATAATCGTTTCCTGCTGTTCAACAACTTTTAAGCCGAATAATGGCTAACCAAACCTCCTCCCCTCCCCAAACCTCCAGGTCGGAAGCTGAAAGATCTGCCATAATTGGATTACCAGTTCCAGGTACCGAAACAAGGAAAAAAAATCAGGACCTAAAAATCTGAAACAGCCAGGATTTATTCGAAACAAAAAAAGCCGTTGTTGTTTCTTAAACAAACCGCAACAAAGCGGATCAGATTGGATGTAACCTCACCCCTATTCCCCCCATTCCTACGGCTTCTCCCTCATTATTGATCACCTTCAATGGATGCTAACAGGGAGGGGACACTGAGGGACACTATTGATCTTGAACACTGCTATGTAATTCTAACCCTCACCCGAGCTCAGATTCCCTCCGGTCCCGACTCACCGCTATCCTAATTCTATGGTACAAGTTTCCCCCTCCCCCCCCCATCAAACCAACTTTCACATCGGGTCTTTTTCAGTGAGGAAA